AAGCCAATGAATGAGCATTTGGTCGGGTAGGAGCACAGGACTGGGGTTTTGTAGTCCAGAAGTAATCATCAAACTTCTTTGTATTTATGCACTAGTCTTTTCAGAAAAATAACACTGAATGAATACATAATGAAATTATGACAACCTACGGGTCTCCTTTACAATCAGTGCATGCCCTAAAATACTGCTTTGTAACATCTGTTTTATACTAAATGTTGGTGTTCAAGTGAGCCTTGTTAGATATTTGACAGTGACAGACAACAATATTTATAAACCTGTTACAATAAATGCCTTTTTAGTCTAAGAAAATGTGTGGTATGGCCTTTATAAAAGGGAAAAAAAGGTCTCTCTGAGGCTAAAGAAGTCTCTGTTGTTGCCTTGTGTTAACAATTCCTTCCTGTGCCATGGGCTTGAATTTATTACCCTGAGTAATTCTGTTTAAGTCAGTGAGGCTGGTCAGAGTAGTGAATTAACAGATGTGGGGGATTACTTATTTTTATTCTTTCACCATCAGAATCACAGTGAAGCTGTAAATAAATCTAATAATCTGTGTGTTAACAAAGTATTAACCTAATTGTCATGTAGTAAGTAGCATGTAGAGGTTCCTATGGTGACCTCTATGCTGTGTTTTTTGTGACCTATTTGATGCAACTATAATCAAGCTGCCAATATTACAAATTTGGGTGTTCTTTATCTACTGTCATCACTGCCCTATTGCTTGACCAGGCAGAGCAGCTCCTGAAGCAGTCAGAAGTGCCTTTTACAGAAAAGAAGAAAATTAATTTATATTAGAGATGGGCAACAGAGAGGAGGAAGTCCCATGATACTCGGTGAGCAAAAGCAGCTGTAGAAGTCTCTCAAACAGGGGTGCTTCAACTTCTGAGATCTCCAAGGTTTGAGCAGGTATTCTAGCTCCTTGCTGGTAGACTGAGAGGAACAGTTGGCTCAAGGCACCAAGAAATGTATTGCTTTTACACTGTGTGCTCTGTTTTTTGTGTTTGTAGTATTGCTACCCTGTAGTTGCAGGCTGCAAGAAAGGTTGCATCTCGTGTGTGTCAGCTACTTGTGCACTATCCAAGTGATCATGATCAATAGAGGCCTCAAACAGACTCAACAGAGGGTCTTAAAATATATTCTGTTTGTCTTGTGCCACGTAACATTTGACAGATTGGTAAGGCATTTTGTCACAAGCCTGACGAAGCCAAAATATTCTTCTGTTACTCAGATCTCTGTATATCCAGCTCTTGTTCCATGCATGCAGCTGCCATGTGGGCTAAACCCTGTGAGATAGTGCTCTGGATTTTGTTCATCCCAAGGTCTTACTGGTGCTGTGTTTTGCATGCTGGTCCACTGAGTGAACATCTTTGTGTTTGGTGCTATTGACTGCTGTGCCTTACAACCATGCATTTCATTCACCTTGTGAACTGAACAAAATTAATAGTCATCTATGTGAATCATTCAAGTATAGCACTGCTGATAACACCATATACTTTAACTGAGATATTGAACAAAGTTGTTTCTGCAGTAAAGTCAGTCACTGCTATAATCACTGGGTACAAACAGAGCTGGTATTCCCAAGAGCTGTTTTTCATTTTTTTACCACTATTTTGTAAATTACATTTAATTTGGACTAAATTAGCAGTTGATCTGCATAAAGATTAATTTTTTTCTTTAGCCCAAAATACAAAGGTATGTGGTGATGACCTAAAGTTTATATCTTAATGATGAACATCTTTTTTAATTTGTTCCTGCTACTGTTGAAACTATAGTAGTTTACGTTGAGTATTTTTCATTCATCTGAAGAGGATAATAAACTGAGGTGAACTAATGAAGTGAGATTAACCTCAACGGAACGTTCACAAATGTTCAGTAGCACAGGTTAAAACAAACAAACAAGTTTCTCAAGCAGGGGTAGAGAGTTATTTTCTAAATACGCAGGCCAGTGCTGACACCTTGTGGCTTCGTGACTGAGTTATTTCATAGTTTCATGTGGTTATTTCGGGTGTAAATCATGATGAACTTGCTGTTGCCAGCGTTGTCTGTCTCCTCTGCTTCCTGGCCACCTCAGTACCCAGTATTTTGGTATCACATGTAAGACAGCTTTGGGCTGTATTGACTGCACGTCGAGTGAATAAGAACTAGGGGTGTCTGGGAGCTCTTGAAGGGGACTCAAACAGCTTCAGTTCAGTGCTGAAAATCACGGGTGCTAGTGCAGCAGCAGACAGCAGTTATGAGCTTCTCTCTTACTAGTTATGCCTCATTTTATATTTCCCTCTACATAGGAGAGCACCAAGGACTGTCAATACTTAGCACATGTGTACTTTTAGGCACACACACGTTTTCTACATTGACACAAAAGCATTCCTTTGCTGCCCTCTTCACCCTTGAAGAATTACTGGTAGCAAAACGACATCCAAAGGGACTGTTGGAGAATTTCTGGTAGTATAGGACCCTGAGGTGCACTATTTATCTATGGCCATAAAAATGCCTAAACCACAATTTATCAGTGCAGTTTATACCTAAATGGGCATCTAATCTAAAATCACATAACTTTTCAAGTCTTAACAAAACCAGCTGTTAAGGCTGCAGTCACCATTTGAGATCTGTTGTGTTGTTTTCAGATCTTGAGGTGTGTCTTGTGAAGATCATGCATCCTCCCTCAGCTGTTTCCTCAGAGATTGTTTTCTGATGCTTATGGTCATGTCCCTGTTCTTAAGTGTTCATGTTGTGGTAATACAGGAGTTAGAAATCTTTACTGCGTTGTGGGTTTGTTGTTTGGGCTTTGGGTGCTTTTTGTTGTTGTTGTCTTTTTAATTTTATTTCTGATATGTTTGGTTGTTTATAATGAATAGTGAAACACAGAACTGGAAAGGAAAGGTTTTCTATAGTAGGGACCAAATCTTCAGTTTATGTAAATCAGTATTTATAGCTTCACTCAAGTCAAAGAGGTGACATTAATTTCTATTCCTGAAGAAAGTGACTGCCTGAGTCTGTTAAGAAAAATCGGAGGAATAAGGATGTACCTATGAAGATTTGATTTGCTGGCATCTCTATTTATCTAACAGGAGGATTTGTACTCTCAACTCCCCCCCCGCCGTGTAAATCTTAATTGACACTTGCTAATTGAACTTTAATACAATAAATGTATTATAATGAGCCATTAGAGTCTCTTTTTTGGCATGCTTCCTCCTCTCTGCAAGAACCGAAGAGAAAAGGTTCAGATGGCGATGCATGCTTGTTACCTATTTCAACACCCTGCCAGGAGGCAGATCTATCTGATCAAAGAGCAGTAAGTGACAGTATCGTTTTAAGGTGCAATAAAAGCTTCTCTCGTGGACAACTGCTTGTAATGCCTCATCACCATCAGGATCAAATGAGATACCTGTAGGTCTATAAATGCCTCCACTGCATGAAATTAAAGCACTCTGTCAAACCTGCACGTGATCTGTTCAGCAAAGGAAAACAAGGTGCTGCAGGAGCCAAGGGAGACCTTTGTAAGCACGAATGTGTGTGTAACTGGCAGGAAAGGCTTTGCAGCACGGACAAGTCAGGACTGCAGTGCAAAAGCTCTAGGAAACTGTTTGGGCCCAGTCCCACCTACAGCCGTAGGATGCAACACGGTTACAGGAACTGTGTGGAAAAACCTCTACCTTTCTTCCTCGGGATGATGATAGGGATAGGTCTCACCTATAGTCTGTAGCCTTTGGATTGCTCTGCCTTTTTAAAAGTTGGGCTATGAACAGTTGTATTGCTGTTTTGCAAATTAAAAACAATTGTGCTCAGGGTAATTTCAGCTTTTAGACACCTGCATCGTGCAAGAAATGCTCCACCGAAGTCCTGGCGGACACAAATCTACCATGGAGTTACATAATGTTAAACTTGAGTGTAAATCCTAAAAAGGAGGAGAAACCAAATCAAATTCCAGTATCTATGCGCTTTTTACGTGTTCTGAGGCATGCAACCTCTGTAATATGTTGTAGAGGATATGCTGCATCTCTCTTTCAGAAGAAAGAGGAAGATGCCTCTGCGGGGTCTATGGCAGCATTACCAACAGCTTTAGTACCTGCTCAGGGGTTGTGTTAAGCTGTGAAAGGACAACTGTTTGAGTAGCACAGTGGCAGCACTGAGCTAGCTCAAATGTCGTGGATTCCAGCCCTCACAAAACTTGCTCAGATGGAGCATATTTATTATAGAGGCACTTAGAGCACCCGTAAAATGTTAGCCGTCACCCCCATGCAAGGACACTGAGGTCTGGCGTACGCCAGATGCAGGAAATTAGCTTCTCCCTAGATTATTTGCAAGAAACATTTGGTGCAACATAAGGTCACAAACGCCAGGTCTAAAAAAACCACACAGAGCAACTACTTTTTCCACGGGCCTAATTCCCGGTAAAAGTGCAGATGCTTCCTCGTTAAACAATTTGATGCCAGAGCGTGTTCAGACAAGACAAAATTCTCCGCCTGGTCTAACTGGTCTCGCTCTCCACCGCGCAATGACGCTGCAACTTTCCGAGTATTTCGCGTTTCCAGAGACGAAAGCCACGGGAGAGCCTTCAACGGAGCCGCAACAAGGTCTGCCCTGCTGGAGTGGGGACGAGGAACGTATGGAGCAAGCGGCCGGGCTCTTTCAAGCTCCAGCCCTTGGCAGCCTCCTTCAGGAAAAGCCACGAAGGCGCTGGGAAGCCTCGGCGGTAACCCACGCGGGATAAAGGGGCCTCCACCCCCCGCCCACGCACACACCCGCCGCGGGGAGGAGCGCGGCCGCCGGCTCTCCTGGCCGCAGAACTACATTTCCCAGCACCCTTCCCCGCCGGGCCGGCCGTGCCCGGAGCCGCTCGGCGGTACTACAGCCCCCAGCAGCCCCGGCTCCCTACCCCTCGCCTGAGGCGGCGGTCGGCGGCGGCAGCTGCGCGTCGGCTCCGGTCAGCGGCGGCCCGTTGCCCCGGCGCTGGGCGGGAGAGGGCGGGCGCTATGGCTGACAGC